CTGGAGTTCAGACGTGTGCTCTTCCGATCTGCGCGAGTCTCATCTGGTAAAGCGAATGATTAGAGGCCTTGGGGCCGAAACGACCTCAACCTATTCTCAAACTTTAAATGGGTGAGATCTCTGGCTTTCTTGAACTATGAAGCCACGAGAATCTCTCTATCGGATCAGAGTGCCAAGTGGGCCATTTTTGGTAAGCAGAACTGGCGCTGTGGGATGAACCAAACGCAGAGTTAAGGCGCCCAACTCGACGCTCATGGGACACCATGAAAGGCGTTGGTTGCTTAAGACAGCAGGACGGTGGCCATGGAAGTCGGAATCCGCTAAGGAGTATGTAACAACTCACCTGCCGAAGCAACTAGCCCTGAAAATGGATGGCGCTGAAGCGTCGAGCCTATACTTTGCCGTCAGCGGCAAGTGGGGCGGCCGTGCGGGGCGTTCACGCGCGCCGTACGCGCCGCCACGAAGCCCTGACGAGTAGGAGGGTCGCGGCGGTGTGCGCAGAAGGGTCTGGGCGCGAGCCTGCCTGGAGCCGCCGTCGGTGCAGATCTTGGTGGTAGTAGCAAATACTCCAGCGAGGCCCTGGAGGACTGACGTGGAGAAGGGTTTCGTGTGAACAGCCGCACACGAGTCAGTCGATTCTAAGCCCTAGGAGAAATTCTATGTCAATAACGGCGTACTATACTCTAGTGTTGTCCTAGCCAATGATGATCGATTACTGTAAAAAGTAAGAAAGAGTGAGAGAGCGAACGACACACACCCGTCGGGCGAAAGGGATTCCGGTTCCTATTCCGGAACCCGGCAGCGGAACCGCATACAATTCGGGCCCTCGTAAGAGTGTTCGTCGGGGTAACCCAAAATGACCTGGAGACGCCGTCGGGAAATCCGGGAAGAGTTTTCTTTTCTGTATAAACGTTCGAGTTCCTTGGAAACTCTAGCAGGGAGATAGGGTTTGGAACGCGAAGAGCACCGCAGTTGCGGCGTTGTCCGGATCTTCCCCTCGGACCTTGAAAATCCAGGAGAGAACCACGTGGAGGTGTCGCGCCGGTTCGTACCCATATCCGCAGCAGGTCTCCAAGGTAAAGAGCCTTTAGTCGATAGACTAATGTAGGTAAGGGAAGTCGGCAAATTGGATCCGTAACTTCGGAATAAGGATTGACTCTGAGGAGCGGGGCGTGTCGGGCTTGGTCGGGAACCGGGTCTGGCTGACGTGCCGGGCCTGGGAGAGGTGAACGCTCGGCGTTCTCGCGCCGAACACGGGATCCGAGCTCGGTCCCGTGGCTTGGCCTCCCGCGGATCTTCCTTGCTGCGAGGCTTCCGTGGCGGCGCGAGCCGTCGTCCTTTTCGGCCGTCATTCAACGCTCAGCTCAGAACTGGCACGGACTAGGGAAATCCGACTGTCTAATTAAAACAAAGCATTGCGATGGCCCTCGCGGGTGTTGACGCAATGTGATTTCTGCCCAGTGCTCTGAATGTCAACGTGAAGAAATTCAAGCAAGCGCGGGTAAACGGGAGTATCTATAACTCTCTTAAGGCCAGTAGAATATATAGAATGTATAGAATAGAATGTATAGATATATTAAATACTTTACCTGTTTTTTAAAACTTTCGACATTTTCGCCTTTTAAACTTTCGCTTTTTTTCACGTTGTCTTGGGAATCTCGTTTCGTAATTTGATTCGTAATCTTGATAGATTTGCTCTTCTGTCATTACATAATAAGTATATTCACATATAAATTAATTATTGATATTGATGATGGATAGGTATCAAAATATATTGTTATTATACACTAAAATTATTATACACTAACAGTATTATACACTAAAATATTATACTATATTACACTAAAATATATTATATTACATACAAAATGAGAGTATATTTACACATAAATTAATTAATAACATTGATGATTGATAAATATTTGAAGAATAACATTATTGAAATGAATTTATTTTTATTTATTCAATCAATATTCCGTTAATATTACAGATTATTTATTTTTTATGTGCAGTAACACCACGGGGCGGGATTGTTTTTTT